TGATGTATGCCCGCTTGGGAAAGGTGAACTTACTCTGGAAGCGGCTGCCGGGAGTACGCATCCCAACTACCACTTTGGGGGTGGTGTCCGTCCGCGAACTGCTGGTAGCCATTGTCGGGAGCCATGAAGGGATCAAGGCTGCCAGTAAAGATCAGTTTATCGTAGACGGAATGTATTCATCGAGTTACTCACAATGTCCCATACTGGCCATTGGCAGGGGTTTCTGCCGATGATAGTTGGTACGAAGTACCGGTGTTGTTGAAAAAAGCGTTCATTGTTTAAAAGTTGAAGGTTGTGCTGGTGAGCTGAGAGATGGAGGTGTGGTACTGATTCTCGACTCGACGAGCAGTATCCTTTATACGTCTCCCAATAACACGAGGGCCATCTTGCGCGAGTCCCTGAGAAGTCACGTTGAAGCACAGCTATGCCTAGATCCCGGGGAGAAGTCTGCCGCAGTGGAAACGAAGGGCGTGCAAGGGCGTGTCGTCGCCTGGAATCCCGCTATTCGGACGCCGATGGGAGCAGCCGGGGCCCCCAGCTGTCAATTCTTCATTTGGTGGCTTGATGGAAGGGCCGATTCATTTGTCGCCAGGCAGCGCGAGGCGCGATGGTGATGCGACAATTGTCCGACACGTTCCACGACAAAGCATTGGACAAAGCAACGACAATTGGGGTGCGAAAGACAATTGGAATGAGGGTGGTGGGCAGGTCAGACCCTGAGCGAGCCCCTCGGCAATGAGGCCTAGTTGTCTTGATGGACCCACAGCAGCAGCGCCGCATCGCGATAGTGTCTACCGATCTTCTGAGTCGATAATAGACGTTGAACTTGGGGAAGCATAATATTTCCGGATGCGGTGTTCGCAGACCCAAATTGGACATGTCTTCCCGACAGACGCCACATTCTGCAGGGCCCATGTAACTGCCACGAGCACAAGTCAAAATGTTGTTCTGTCACTTTCTTGATTGGCTTCCAAAACCATGATTTCTAGTGCGCGACCACATGCTTTTGGCGAGATATTACCAATGGATCCTTGGCCCGCGATCGTATGGTGCACGATGCATGAAACACTGAATTGAGACTGAACAGTCCCAGGACTTGGCTAATATTGCGGGAAACATGTGCTGTCAGGGTCCTTTCATTGCACCATCCTATCGGGCACAGAAATCGGGGGGCTGGAGCGGCCTCGTGTTCCATCAAATCGCAGGCGGGGTTGGTAGGAAAGGGTCCAATCCAGTGGTGGCAACATTGATGTTTTGGTCTAAGCTTCGCAATCGGATAGCGTTCAGCGTTCGGCTACCCTAGATGAAATAGAAAACCACTAGATGACTCGCGCATGGAATGTCATCGCAATCGATGTGATGACCGTTGGCGAGCTGACAGCTCAGAATCGGCAGTGCCTCGTCGCACCGCCTTGAAGATCAGGCAAACTACGCACAGCTCACACGAGCTAGGTCTGAGCGATAGGCGAAGAAGCACCCACACATACTCGTTATATGTCAGGGACCTTCTGCTCTTCGGAGGAATGTCACACATAAGGGAGAAAGAGTCCGCAGGCAGTGACAGTCCGGATGGTGATACAACATTGATTCCTGAGATACAGTCAAATACATCTTCTATCCCTTGCATAGCTTATAGCGATTATGCATCGTAACCTGGTGGACCATCAGTAGGAGTGGCCAACGCAGCGGCAGTCTGGCCTATGCTGGACCCAGGGCGTGTCGTTGTGGGAGAAGTGTATACCGCTGCAGAAGGGGAGATGCATTAGCTTGGACCGTACCAGTAAAAGAAGAGCATACGCAGTCCATCCTCTTCTTCTTCCTCTGCTTTCTGTCGCTTCATGTATATCGCCCGCTCTCTTGTCTTCTCAATGGCGCCGACAAATTCGAAGATGCCTTTATCCTTCAGTCTGATCTCTGCCTTCGTGCCATCAGACAGACCACCTTCGGAAGAAGGCTTGATCTCGAAAGCCAGGTAATTGGCGCCGAACATGGGCTGCTCAAACGCCGTAGACAAGATGGAGAGCAACGGGACCGAGAGAGACTCGAGCCCGCCCTTGACGTCAGGCCCGACAAAGATCAGCTGCAGATCAAAGTCCAAAGTCAAGCCAGGCATGCAAAAGCAGAGAGTACAGTATCCAGCGCACCCGCTGATCCGTGAGGTAAAGTCGGCCTGACTCCTTCAGCTTCTTGGTCCCGCCCGAGCCGCCTGCGTTGCCCGAAGGTGCTGGTGGTGCGTCTGGGATGACGAGAGACAGCTCAACACCAGAATCGATGGTCTTGATAGTCTGTTCGTGAGGAAGGGGCACCGGGGTCCGATCAGGCCCAATCATTGTCCAGTTGAGAGCCATGGTTGTATGGGTGTGAGAGAGATGACAGCAGACGACCATCAGTAATGTGACTGCGCCTCCCCAAGTAGCAAATATTGCCACTGAGTGGTAATGTCATAAACGTGACACCTTTCATGGATGCCTGGCGCAATGGTAGCGCGTTAGACTTCGATCGTCCAACGCTTATCTAAAGGTTGCAGGTTCGAGTCCTGCGGTGTTCATGTTTTTGCTTGTTTTTGGTAGCTGGACGTTTGAACGACGCGTGACCGCGATCATGTTTGTCGACGCGACTTGTCCACTGCGACCACACTAGCACTTGCAAGTCACTCTGGGCTGACTTCCAGGGCTATGGCGACTTCTTTTCTTTTCTCTCAGCATTCTTCTAATCCACTCGAACTCCCAGCCTCGGACGCGACAAACCAAGTTTTGCTGCAAAAGTACCAGCGAGCCAAAGCGGCTTGCGAAGAGGGCAGCACGTACTCTTCTGACGATCCCCAAGTGCTGAAAGAGGAGATCGGCACGTACCGCGTCCAGCGACACGACCTGCCCAATGCGCCCAACATGGTGGATCTCGATGAAGACTCGGAGAGCGACGACGAGCTGATGGCGCCGCTCGAGGACGACGAGATAGCGGCGGAGGGTGAGGACGAGGAGATGCCGGATTCAGAGGAGGAGAGTCTGTCGCGTAAACCGCCAGAGGAGCAGCAAGAGATTGAAGAGGAGATAGCAGACGTCGAAGAAACCGTGCCCCAGCTGACTCCCGACTACAAGATCATTGACCGTCTTGGCACGGGTACGTTCTCCTCTGTCTATAAGGCAATCGATAAGGCGTACCACACGAAGTGGGATAACGCGCCCTGGCATGGACATCACCCGACATCCTCCTCTGCCCATTACCAGACCGTTGCGCGGCCCTCGGGGAGCAAGGTCTATGTCGCGGTGAAGCGCATATACGTGACGAGCAGTCCAGAGCGCATACGGAACGAAATTGCAATCATGGAGGACTGCAGGGGGTGCAGGCACGTCAGCCAGCTGATCACGGCCTTCAGAAACGAAGACCAGGTTGTGGCAATCATGCCTTACCACCGGAATGACGACTTCAGAGTGAGCCGCCCTTTCATTCGTTTGCGTGCAGTAGTACTTATACAAGTACACAGGAATTCTTCAGGACTCTCCCAATGCTAGGCGTAAAAGCCTATTTCCGCTGCATGTTTCGCGCTCTACGCGACATCCACGCGCGCGGGATCATCCATCGTGACGTCAAGCCCGCCAACTTTCTCTTTGACCCGCGCACAGGCATCGGCACGCTGTGCGACTTTGGTCTCGCATGCGTGCGTCATCTCCCTTGTATCATTCATGTAGACTATAGCCTGACGGGGGGTTCCTCTAGCGCATGGAGCCGGGCCCGAGCCACGGCTGTTGCTTGCACACATCGGGGACGCTCGAGTTCCTGCATGGGCGGAACCGCCGCCGCGGGGAGTACGATGCTGATCATGTCAAAGAAATGCAACGCGACTCTCGCGCGAAGAGTCATTGGGCAGCCGAGAGGGTCGGTTATCCAGATAAAGATACAAGGTGCCTACGGTCCCTGCGCATCTGCGCCTGTTTTGAAGAGCTCTAACCTTCATGACGCATAGACCACACTCTAAGGCCAACCGAGCGGGCACCAGAGGCTTTCGTGCGCCTGAGGTTCTGCTCAAGTGCGGGGACCAGACTGGAGGTGACCTTTGCACTGAGACATTTGCAGGTTTTAACTAACACCACCATCTCGTAGCGATTGATGTTTGGTCGGCGGGGATGATCCTCCTTTTCTTCCTGACGGGAAAATTCCCGCTTTTCCAATCCAACGACGATGTCGAGGCGCTCATGGAGATCGCTACGATTATCGGACGTAAGAAGATGGAAAAGACTGCGACTTTACACAGTGCGTAGCGCCCTGTCGGTGGGCGACAGCTCCTAACACGTCTATCCAGGTCGAACCTTTGTGACCAATGTCCCCTCTGTAACTCCAGAAGGGATGCCTTGGCGAACTTTCGTATCGAAACAGAACGAGAAGCTGATGGAACCACACCCTCCCAACCCGGAACATTACCCCTACAACAGTACACCCCATTCCCAGTCACATATGAACGCACACCTCCCGCCAGCCTCGTCTTCCTCCGGTCTCGAGCGCTCCTCATCCCCTCAGCGTTCGTCGTCTCCAAATACGCCCTCACTCGGGCCCCCCACACCCGAGCAGCATGCGGACGACATTGACGCTGCGTTCGAGCTTCTAGAAGGGATTATGAACCCCGAGTCGACGCGTCGATTCACGCCGCGTGAGGCCCTGTATCACCGGTTCCTCGCGGATCCCGCCGAACCGGACGACGACGAGTTCTTCCCGCATCCGTTTGGGCAGGGCGTATGCGGAGACTGGCACCATGTGGACGAGGTCACGGATGAGCCTTGTGTGCGGATCAACATTGACGAGGAGGGGCACGGGGAGATGATCAGAGTCGCAGCTGGCGAGGGCATTGCGATTGGGCGTTGGCCCTGCGAGTTCCATCGGAGAGAGTATGCGTGCGTAGAGTGAGGGGCCAATAACTTGTTGATACTTATATTTCAATTAAACTGCTGAGTTTTGACGGGGAGAAAAAGTGTTTGCAAGCTTGCAAGGTTGAACATGCAAAAATATGAACACCGCAGGACTCGAACCTGCAACCTTTAGATAAGCGTTGGACGATCGAAGTCTAACGCGCTACCATTGCGCCAGGCATCCATGAAACTATGTCGCCCCGAGACACTTGCATTCCGCAACCATGTGGCATCGTATATCGGCTTCAGTGCTTCGACCAATGCCAGCCAATGCCTCGTACTGCCTCGTAGTGACTCGACCACTGACCAAACCCACCCGCCTGTGCCACCAGCACTACCTGCATAACCAGCAGGGCTATAACTGCAGTACCGTTGCAAACTGGTAGACTTAACTCTCTAAGGTCCTTTGGACCCTTTCGGAATGTGACTCAGGCTCTCACTATGAGGTAGGTTAAATGATGTCCACGCAACGCGCGTGCTTCGCTCAGTCCGTTCTCAGAGCCTATTCAGAAATAGAGAAGGCACCCAGCTATCAGTTCCTCATTTAGTGACGAGGTCCGATGGGGATCATCGCGACACGTTACAAGACAAAGCTTTGAACAATTAGGGTCTCAAGACCACTGACGAGGATGCCAATAAACCAGTCCCTGGACAACGAGGCACTGGCTTTCTTGATGGACCCTCAGCAGCAGTGCTGGATCAAGCTATATAATCTTCTGCTCGATGACAGGACTTTGAATTTGTGACGCGAGTCATAATTTTTCCGGATGCGGTGTTTGCAGATCCAAATGCGGCATCTGTCCCAGATCGACGCCACATTATGCCACCAGCTCTACCTAAGAAAAGGCCTATCAGGCCGGGTTGTACGCAAGGCTACATTTGGATTGAACTGTCCAGGGGCTGGGCGAACACTGGACGAAACATGTGCTGTCTGGGTCCTTTTATGTCGATATCGACCCATCGGGGACAACCAACATGGCCTGGGGGACCCTCGTGTTCCATCAAATCGCGGCCAGCGTCGGTAGTAAAGGATCCCAGGGCAATGGTGGCAAAGTAGCGGTTGAAGCTTTGAATTCGAACAGGCTTCGCGTAAAGGTAAGTGCATATAATCAGCAGCCTCGCAGCTATTTGGAACACAGTACTAGTACACATATCACGTTGTAAGTACCCTGGGAAGGGGTATACCAATTTCACAGTTCGCGAGTAGTAATAAGTAGTGAACATGAAGAAACGAATAAAATGAACGAGATACTCTGTTGGTCAAAGCAATTAATGCTCCCCGAACGACGAATACCTGGTCATGAGGTCAACTGCATTCTTCAAGTCAAGATAAACCCCAGCTCACTGTGCAACAGTCGCCTGTGCCACAAAACTCACGCCGCGGAGTCTGCAAATACCAGTTGGCAATGAAGCCACCGAATCCCCACTGCATCATCATTCAACTCGTGCAGCAGTGCAGTCATCATTTGAGCAGTGCCGCTTGCGCCCCAAGGAATCGCTACCAATACTGGAAGCGCTTCTGAGGGTACGTTGAATAATTGACACCACTCGTTGTAGAGAAAGACATCGTCCAAGAAAGGGAACTGGCGACTCCTGTCATTCGCGTCAATCTGTCGGATCCTTGCAACATGATTATCAAGTTGGCAAAAATCCAGGAAGAGCGCGGGTCTCATCATAGGGCGGCGGTTATTGGGTAAACCTTCCTTCCATGATGCTATGCCCACTTCTTGTACCTTCAGATCGTTGGCAATTAGGTAGGATAGGAAGTGCAGGTCCGGGTAGGATATATCAACGCAGTCTACCCATTCAAATCAGTT